GTTATGGTTTTTTTACGTCTGACTGCTTTCAGAATTTTCTCTTTCATCTTAACTTTGGTGAAGTTAATTATGATGTACCTGGGGGATGTCTTGTTCAGGTTGAGTCGTGCTGGGTTTCTGAAACTATCTGCTATCTGAATTTCAGAATCTCTTGGCATGTCTGGAAAGTTCTCTTTTATAATTTTGTGAAGAAGAGCCTCTGTGTTTGGTGAAGCAACTTCATCACCTTCAGGAATTCCTATAAGGCGAATTTGGTTTTCTTCAAGGTATCCGAGAGCTCTCTGAGAGTGAGATCCGTTTTTGCTCTCCAGTTCTTTTGATCTTTGCGCTCCTGGGCTTCTTCAAAAGCTTTGTCTTCAAAATCAGAGATCCTTTCTTCTGCCTGTTGCACTCTGTTACAGAGGGATTCCACTGTATCTTTCAGATCCTTGAGGGCTGCAACCTCCTGTCCCAGTGTTTCAAAATCTTTGATCATGTTATCTTTGAAATCATTGAGTTCTTGAGACATCTTGTGAAGAATTTTTGAGATATCTTTTGAATAATTTCTTGAACTTCTAATTCTTTCATTTCTTCTATTCTGTTAATCTTATTTGCTATCCAGATTCTGAACTCAATTTCTGACATCTCAGCCATTTGCTTGTGGATGGGGTCTTCAATTGCATCTGCCCCATTTTTCCTTGGGGGAGTTAATCTACTCTGATTATTTGAGTTGCCAGAGTTTTTCTGCTAATTCCACCCCATGTTGACTTTACCTTGTTTGGAGGCCTTATCATAACTGTTCAGTTGGTGGCTTCTTCTGGTTGCCTGGAGAGACAGGCAGAGGGTGTCTGTTGTCTTCTCCCAGTTCTTGGGTGTTGGTGCAACCTGGGTGCAGTGGAATGACAGCAGCCACAGGGAAGTGTGCGTAGCTGATTTAGACCTCATCGGCCTGCTGGGGTGACTGGGGGCCAGGAGTCCAGCAGCAGCTGGGTCAGTCCTAGTTCAGCCCCCCTGGGGCAACTGGTGGAACAGGGTAACTGTAGTGGCTAGATCAGTCCTACTTCAGGCCCCCCACCCCCCCCGCCCCCGAGCAGCCAGGAGGTTGGGGAATGGCAGTGGTAGCGTTTCTGGCAGCTAGATAAGAGGGGTCCACTTGTAGCTCAGATATAACTTGCTCCAGTGCTCTGTGATGGCAAAGGGACCTACCCAGCAGATGGGTTAGTCTGGGAAGGTTAATACCTCCTTCCCCACCTTGCACCCAGTCACTCGTAATCCCCCAGGTCTGTGACCCTATTCACTCCAGTAGGCAACTGCTCCCGGGGTTTACAACTGGCAAAATCAGCCAGAAATCCAAGTTCGGCAGGGGGGCCTTGCGTGCTTCTGTCCAGCTAGATTTCTCTGCCAGTCAGAGGCTGCATTCAGCTCTGGGCAGCAGACAAATAGCAGTTTATACTCAGGTGTCAATTCTAGCCTCTGCCTGCCCACTGCCTTTGTGTCAGCTGTATTATACCCTGAGGGCTGGTGTTAATTGTCTTTTTACTTACTTCTGCCTGTGGCTGCTGTC